TAAACTGTTATTCTTCTCTGTCTTATGTACTGGTCTGGCAGAAAGCTGTGGTATGAATGACATGTAGATCAGCAAGAAAAACTACCAAGCCAACCACTTGAAATGAAGCTAGTCCTGACAGGTCGAAGATCAGCTCTGGGTGTTGCAAAGCTTCTGCAGAATCCTGTGATTTAGTTTTCTGCGTTGCTTCAACAATGATTGCTTCATCCAAGTGGGGGCAGGGACACTACCAAAGAAGGCCCTTTACTTCCTGACACATGCATTCTGTGCTGAAGAATTATCCCTGAAGAATACACTTACAGCTCAACTATCCAAATCAATAATTTTTTTCTAGAAAAGGTGATGCTGAGAAAAGGCTACGCAAGAAATCCTATCTTTACCTCTATATGTTCATTGTACTATAGACAAGCCTCTTCAGAAGGAATTTAGCCTAAAATAAGATTGCACCTTTCCCTACGTATAACTTATTATCACTTGTTTGGTAATTTAGAGCAAACTTCATGTTTATTCAAACGATCATGATGAGACAATCCAGCTTTATTTTATAAAGCTTCTTCAGACCCTCAGTAAGACATATAAATTGTGAAATTTTGAGGACTCAGCGAAGCTTTTGTCCCTCGGAGAGTGGCAGCAGTAGTTTGTGAAGGAGGGGGACAGAAAAGTCAAGGAAAAGATAAGTACAATATAGCAAATCTTTACTACAACTTTAGAGAGAGAGAAAATGTATCAGAGCAAGATACATTGGAAGCATTTCCTCTTTAAACGCCCTTCATAAAATTACTTGGTTTTTATTGGGGGAGGGAGGAAATTGCCAGATCCTTTCTAAAAATGTAAACTGTCATGTTTTATAGGGCTATAAATAATGAAATGCCCCTTCATGGTAAGTACTGTTCTGTTAAATTTGAGAAGTCACAAATCTGACGATTTTCCAAAATTGCAGAGAAGGAGCATTTTGTACTAAATGCTTCTGCTATTATGTCGACTAGGGAAACACTGACTACTCTTGAGGTGTTTCTGTTGCTGTCTTCCTGGAAGACAAGCCAGGGAATTGAACTCTCCTTGCCTCAGGCTGCCTGTTGGCTCTGTGTAAAAATGACACCACCTACCTCTCAGTATGTTTTGAAATTGATAGTTAACCAAGCACTAGGAATTCTTTAGAAAAAAGTAGGCTCGTTATGTAGCATTAGCATCTTAAGACAGTCTAGTACTCTTAAGTCATTTAAATCTTTAAAACACTCTTCATTCTTTTTTTTTTTTCTTTCTTTCTTTTTTGAAACAGAGTCTGACTCGACCCTAGGCTGGAGGACAGTGGTGCAATCTCCATTCACTGAAATCTTCACCTCTTGGGTTCAAGTGATTCTTGTGCCTCAGCCTCCTGAATAGCTGGGATTACAGATGCATGCCACCATGCCTGGGTAATTTTTGTATTTTTAATAGAGAGGGAGTTCTACCATGTTTGTCAGGCTGGCCTCAAATTCCTGACCTCAAGTGATCCACCCACCCTGGCCTCCCAAAGTGCTGGAATTACAGGTGTGAGCCATGCACCCAGCCTCATTCTTAAAGTATGTTTTCAAGTGCTAGTCTTTAAAAATTATCTTTTTAAAATCAGAATGTCGTTTTATTTAGAAATTACCGGGAAAGAAAGTGTTTGAAAGGTGTGCTGTATAATACCAATGGGCCAGGGAGCTCACATTTCAGCTGATAGTTTTAATGTTGTGTAGAAAGAGCCAAAGTCATTTTTTTAAAAATTTTCTTAAATATGCCTTATTGTAATGAAGACTTGAGTTTAACAAAGGTCAGTCTTGGGCCAGTCAAAAGAGGAAGAATAATTGGAAGTACTGGATAGACAAACACTGCAATTTAGAGACAGAGTCCAGAGTAGTTATTGGCATTCAACTAACATATTGTCAAGTCATATTACCATTGGCTATGCTTGTGCTTAAGACTGATTTTCAGTATACTATGAAGGAAAGAATTCATTAAGAATAAATATGTTTGGATCCTAAACTTACTTACTTCTGAAATTAATTATTACGCTTGTGCTTAAGACTGATTTTCAATATACTATGAAGGAAAGAATTCATTAAAAATAGTATTAAAGTATGTTTGGATCCTAAACTTCTTAACTTACATGTGAAATAAATTGTATTTTTAGGAATTTTTTTTGAAGTTTTTAAATGTTACAGTTAAAATGTTGTCCCATTTAGCATGAAATTATTTTGATTTGTCTAGAAGCTATCACAGAAAATAAAATTTAAAAATATGTAGTAGATAAGAATAAATCTTCTTTGTGGTAGAGTAATTCAGAACAATTTTTTATAGGACAAAAACGAAAAGGCTTCTAAACTTGATTTTTCAAGTTACATTTATTACTAATATAATCTGAATTTTCAGTATGCATCTTTCAAATACAGTCTTTTGTAATAAACAGAAGTGGAAATGTCAATCTATTTAATAGGACAGCACAATTTTTTCAAATAGAAAAGTGTGGACCATGTAGATACTAGTACTTTAAATAGAAATCAAATGTGAAAATCTACTTTCTCTAAAAAGAAAAAAACCAATTTTTCTGCAATTTCTCTCTCATTGTAATAACTGACCCAATTTGATATAACTTTTTATCCAAAATTTCAAGTCACTAATGCATGTATGTACTTGAGCCCTAATAGGTTGGCCCTTTCCAATGTATATAATGGTGCCAAAATATAAAAGAGACATATTCAAAGATAAATGAACAAGAATCCATGCATCTATAAAACTCAAAATACAAGACAAATTTTAAATCATCTTAATAATGGATACTTCAAACACATGCATTGGTATAACATTTAATCTCAAGAAGGAGGAAAAGTGCCAAATTAGTGTCTCTATGACTGGCACACTCTACTTTTAGGGAAGGCTTTTTAATTCACAGTAAAACTCAAACTCTTTCTACCTATGTGAGTTCTACTAATAAACAAATGTTTTATAACAAATGTGGTATGTACTTTCAAAGAAACAGCTCTTCTCTACACATGCTATTATTCAGAAGATAGGACTAACTCATTTTACTTTCGTGAGAACAATGGTTATTTACATCTTCTCACCCATAGGAATCAAACTTCACTGTGGCAGGTGTCCTGTCTCAACCATTAGCTTCAATGTGACCAAACTAACTTTATTCATTTTCAAGTATACTGAAGAATAATACAGTACACTTTAGGATGGTTTGACAATGGCACTTTGGCTTTTCAGAATTCATATCTGGAAAGTGTGACTTTTCAAACCACTGATCTCTGCTGCATATAGAATGTTCTTTTTCCTCGTGAGTGAGAAATGTGCAACTTTCCTGCCATTTTCTTAATGTCTTTTTCCTGTCTTTTTCTTAATGTCTAGAATAAGTTCAGATTGCTTAATACAGATAATATTGATCTAGTATCTGCAAAGAGAGAGAAGTCTGTTTTATACTAATATGTAACTTTAAAATGTCACCTCTCTATTTTGAGTCTGCTGAAAATTTTAGTGAATAATGCTAACTACGTCGACTGATGGAAATAACTCCTAGCACATATAAAAGAAAGCAATGAAGTAGAACAGGACCCTAGCAAGCAAAGTATTTTCTGCTAAGTCTCTCCTATCTTAGTTTTAAGATATTCACAAGATATTCACTTCAAATCTAAAATGATTCAACCACTATAATGAATTTTGAACTAAGTAAGGCTTTTATGTAGGGGATTTCTGAGAATTTGCTGACTAATCTATACATTGGGTATTATATTTTAAGATTCTATAGAAACTCTTGGGAGTCAATAATTATGTTTTATACCTTGATAATTTAAGAATATAACCATAGGAAGTATTTATTTTTTCTTTTCTCCATCTCTTAACAATTTTATATCTGGTCTCTCGTCGCTAATAGAACTTACTGTGATTTCTTTTTTTTTTTTCTTTGATGATAAGGTCTTGATCACTTGCACCTTGGCATTACTTTAAAGTTTTATTCTGTGAAATATACCGTGATTATAAGAGACCATCATAATGATACATTCAAGACCTGAAAAGTAACACAAAGCAAAATTATCACCTTTAAAAAGCTAAGAAAATTTTGAATACTCAAGATGGTTTTTTACTTAAAAATATTCTGGATACCTGCTTAGGATGTCAAATACGTTGATTTTTTTTTTTTAGTATTTACCACTTTGTGGGTAATGAATTTTTTTCTATTTTCCACTTTGTGGGTAATGAATTTTTTTGTATTTAACACTTTGTGGGTATGGTAATAAGGAGCAAATGTTTGATCTGATTGTTTGATGGGCATGCTAACAAGGCATGGGTCATGGGATTGATGAAACAGCTGCTTAACTTCCTCTGGACATCCTAATAACAACTTTCTAAAGAAGCACCACTTGTTACATAGCCTTCTGTGGCATGTTTTCTATAACTGACTAAATGATCATGATCTACAATTGCATAATAACAGACATATTTATGTACCACTTCCTTAAATCCATTGATAGTTTTAAATCTTCACATCAACGCTCACTCCATGTAACACGTAACACAAAGCCTGCCACCTAACAATTCCTTTTGGGACCTTTATTGTTACATGTAGTGACACTAATTATCTAATCCACTCCTAAATGTAACCTGATATTTATATAATGAGCAAAGAAAATAAACAATGCATCAGAGGGCATTCTACAAATGAGAGAATCTCAGAATATCAGAGTTGTTAAGGATCTGAAAGATTAGATAATCCATGGCTGGGTACAGTGGCTCATGCCTGTAATCCCAGCACGTTGGGAGGCAGAGGCAGGTGAATCACCTGAGGTCCGGGAGTTTAAGACCAGCCTGACCAGCATGGAGAAACCCTGTCTTTACTAAAAAAAAAATATTAATACCAAATTATCTGGGCATGATGACACATGCCTGTAATCCCAGCTACTCGGGAGGCTGAGACAGGAGAATCGCTTGAACCCAGCAAGGAGATGTTGCGGTGAGCTGAGATCATGCCATTGCACTCCAGCCTGGGCAACAGAGCATAACTCTGTCTCAAAAAAAATAGTAAAAAAAAAGGTTAGATAATCCAATCTTCTCATTTGACAAATGGGGACACCTGAACCCAGAGTCTATTCCTGTCACAGGCTTCTGGCTTAAAATAGATTAGAGATAAATCACATACCTAAATCTTTCTATTCTCTACACATCATGCCATTCCCCAAAAGTCCTTCCAAAATGTATAATAATCTTATTCTCATATGTTTATTTATTTCAGAGAACTCCATATTTTAATTATTTTTTTAAAATCTGAAATTTATTAGATTTTTTTAAATGCTGCAGATAAATACTTAATACCAAGGAAAATATTTTTATAAAATAATTGCTCACTGGCATGCCCCTAAGAGAAATTTCTGCAATGTTATATTCCTTGCTGTTATAGGTAGTGATAATTAGTACACCATATTTCATTCATTTCTTACTGGACTAAGGTGCAAGGAAGAAATACTTAGTTTTATTTTATTTGAGTAGAGTTTAGTTACATAGACTACCTATAAGTGGAATCAAAATTATGAATTACATATAAGTGCCAGCATATCAATGAAGATTGTGAAATTTTCTTCAAAGTAATTCTCTATGCATCAGCTGACAAGGAAGTGATTCACACTCACCTGTGTGTCTAGACACACAAACTTAGATAAATGACTTATGAGAACAAGCCAAAGCCAAAAGTGAATCTAAATCTATTAGAAAAGTTTAAAATACCTACAAAGGAGCATTTTTTAGAAAAACATAGTTGGCACATGATCCATTCTTCTAACTTTCATGTTTGGCGTCTCCATCCCCTTGGGTGTGGGTTGTAGTTGTAATCAGCTACTGGAAGAGAGTAATCAGACCTGGTTTCTATGGACATGATCTCGGAATCATGTCTTGAGGCCTGCCTATAGTATGCATATGGAAACCGTGAACCATATTGGGAATTGGTGGACATATTATTATTGGCTGTGACATTATACTCTTGCCTTCCACATGAGCCCATATAGGCCTTCTGGGTTTGAGGAACATAGGACAGTCTCTCATTCCAATCCTCTGGAGGCCCTGGAAGCACCTTCCTCCGAGCTGCTGAGACCACATTTGCCACAATGGATTCCTGGATGTTTCTGGGTCTGAAAGCATCATCCACTAGACCGAGAGGAGACTTTGCTGCTGCTTCCCAAGGAGTTGGTCTCTTGTTTGCTTTCTCTAGTCCATCAGTTGGTTTGCTAGAGTAACTATAAGTTGGCTGGTATACCCAAGGAGATGTAGAAATGGAGGGTGGGACTGATCTTCCGGGAAGAGAAAGGGAGTGTCCACTCTCCTAGAAACAATGAAAATATTAATATATTTTATTCATTTTGGTTTGTTCTGAGTGACATTCCAAAGTATTCCTGCCACCATTTCCAAGTACTGCAAAGAAAAAGAGAAAAGAAAAATAAAACCCAGAATGCTTAGTCTTAAAGCCAGGACAGGCTGGTTGTCCCCACCTTTGCAGAAGTGGGCAAAGTACAAATGGTAGGCTGCCACTTGGCCCCACCATTTGCACTTGGCCCTCCTAGTTGCTCCCCGTCTGTGAACCCATAGCCCCATCTGCTGTCATCTTTCTTAGGCATAACCACCAGGGGCAGGGTAGGGGCTCCATCGTCACTGGCCTTTCCTTCTCTCTGCCTCCACACAGGCATATGTGCATTCACATCCCACCCTCATTCCTATTCTGTTTTCCTGGTACAAAATAAACAAAACCTATTGATAACCTCAAATTACTGAGTTTTTTACTCTTCCCAAGTGACTCTTTTTTTTTTTTTTTTTTTTTT